ACTCCTTAAAAAGATTGTCACTATCCTTATTCAGCAGCGGTTCGGGGGAAACATCGGAAAATCTGACGAAAAAAGTGTGCAGATTTTTTAAATTTGGTAACGACCCTAATATATCCTGTGTTAACACGCATATCATATTTAAGATGCACATTGCACAATATATTGGTGAGTTCTTGGAACAATGAACAAAAGAAAAAAAACCTCATGGTCAATAATACACTTACCGATTTTTTTAATCCTGTAATACTCCTTAATTCTAGTTTAAGTAAGTCAAACTTCTCGCAAATGACTTCAAAAGATTTCTTATTTAGGTGAAGCTCTATCAATGTCAGTTCTTCCAAGCTTCCCTTTCTATTAGTGTAATAATCGATGATTTCCGCCAGATCACAGTCATAAAGATACGCTTTCAAATCTCGTTCCGAAGCCTCCACACGACTATCCAGCGGTCGATCGACCTTGTACACAGTGATTCTCGGACAGTTTTTGAAATTTTTCGCTGTAGCCAGCACAAACGCTGTTGTAACCTCTGCCATGTTGGTTACTTTTAATGTGACCAATTTCGGACAAAACTTAAAAATATCCAATAAAAATTCCTCACTCACCGATATACACTGATGGAGCGTCAATGAAGTTATATTTGGAATCATTCGAAAAATTTGAATCATGATCTCATCTTCGTAATTTTTTTCAAAAATATCGACCCGACTAATTTTTTGACACTTCTCCACGATCCAAAGTAAAACTTCACCTGCACATGCGATATCTTTTTTTAGTTCCAATACTTCCAAGTACGGACAATGTTGCGCCAGTGCACCCATCGCTCTTCCGTCGTTAATATCTACTGACTCCAAAAATTTAAAGAATCTGAGATTTGGTAAACGCTCAGTGAAATCGTACACTTGATCTTTATCCAATATTCTGTCTCCGATACAAAATTCTTCAATCCTCGGACAACAATCTAAAGTTTCGAGAATGGTTTGATGGCTTATCTTGAGTTTGTCTAATTCCGGCAATTCTAATATACGAACATATTTTCCGTAATTATGAAAGCATTTTCCTTCTTTTGCCAATTTCAAGGTGCCTAAGAATTTCGCGAAGGATTTTGTACGATTATCGTTTTTCAATCCACGGAATTTATACCACAATCGTTCGGTGGCCATTTTGTTCCACCAACGGTTCACAGTGGCCAAAGGCAACACCTCACGTTCTAAGGGTATGTGCGAGAAAATGTTGCTCATGATTAGGGAAATTGAGAATGCTCGGTGGGAAGTGGGTTCTAACATATTTGTAACCACTGAATGATGTTGAGTGAAATTTGAATTGATAAGGCAAATTTATACTTGTTTTTTTTTAACGCAACACAATGGCAACTATTTCCTTTTATGGCTAATAAACACACTTCCAAAACGAATAGTTTAAAGTTTCATGAAGACAAAAGAATATAGTTAGTTCGTACTGCTAAATTGACCGATGCGCGACGAAAAAGGTCGCACGAACGTGAATATCGATCGGTTTATTTTGTTAAATTATTTGTGAAAAAAAAAAAGGCTATCGTTGCCACACCAATTGACAAAGTCGGATAGTCATATTCCTTTGCAAGAAAACGTATACAGTTTTATTTACTGTATTTGCAAACACATCGTACTCCCAGTAATTTTACTTGTTACATAATCACCGATCACATTTGTTTTATCCGCTTTGTTGCTCGCACTCTTTCAGAACACCAAAGAACGTTTCCTTTTGATTGAACGACGGCGAGGATCGGTTTTAAGGGGTACGAGATTTAACGGGTCCAGCAAACGTTTATCCAATTCCACTGACCTTTTGTGTTCTGATATTATCGTATCTCGCTTTCGTTTTCTTGGATCGGTTTTTGTGGGAGAGAAGTTGAGTGGCTGCGGTGAACGCTTGTGAATGGTTCCTTCGTCGCGTTTCCTCGCTGTGGTTTTGAAGGAATGAAAAAATGTCGAAAAGAAAAAAATTATTATAAAAATTACTCACATTCCGAGATCGACCCTTGATCCTCCGCACATTCTACGTTTGCGTTTCCAAATATATTCATGAAAAGCGCTACCGTTATTAGTGGTAACAATATATACCCAATCTCTATTTTCATTTTCAATTTAATCTTTCGTACTTGTGTGTGCAGTAGGGTGAATGACCCGGGCGCTTCGAGAACATTTTGAAATAATCTGATCTTAACCGTTTCGTGAGAAATGCTTTGCCATGTCTCAGGTCTAAAAAAACTAACGAATAAGACTCATTCCTCTTTTTTTATTGTATTTGTGAAAAAATTTGAAGTTCTCGAGTTTTTTTTATATCCTTTTTATTTCATACAAAGCCTTAACATTACCATATATGCTGTTACCGAAACATTTATTTTGGTTCGACAATACTACGAAGACTGCGTACTTAGGATCTGAAGATTTCAAAGCCTTACCCTTTTTCAAATTTTCGGCGGAGAG